GAGTAAGGGGGTCGTTTTTGACCTGAGGACATTTTTTTCTAGTTGGTTTTTCCTATTGTTTACGGGCGACCCCTCTCCGACCCTACCTCTGCTCAGAATTTTGAGGAAAGAAAAATTTCTCGAGACATTTAGAAAAAAGCCGCAGGAAGTCGAGAAAAGTTTCTAAGATGGTACGTGGGATGGTCGTGCCAGAAGGAGCTGGGGTGGGGTGGTATTTTGCAAAGAAATTTCCACAGCGACAAGACGTGCCCTGAATAGGTGCGTCCCGAAACGTCGCGTCGCTGATCCGTCATCCTTCCTCCAGAAACAGGACACGTCCTACCGTTGGGGAAAATTTTTGCAGAGACACGAACCCTCCCTCTCCCCCCCCCCCCCACACACACCTTCAAATTCCCTCCTGTGGTGGGAAACTCCTTATTCATCCGCCATTCTACAGACTATCTTCCTGGATCTTCCTAATATTGTATATTAGGTTGTCCGGAAAGTTCTCAGCGTTTTGTGCACCTATTTTTTGTACATTCACTGCTGATTAAAAACTCATTCTGCCTTGCTTCTCAGTAGCACATCCTGTAGAGAATTTCTTGCGCTATCTGATGGTATAATTGCCGTTTCACCATTGCTTGATAAACCCCTTTTTTCAAGATTTTTTCAAGCATGTGAAAAGAGCACTTCGGACGATTTTTTTCTTCGACTATAAATTGGGGCAATCCGCAATCGAAACAGCTCAACAAATTAACCAGGTGTGGGGGCCCAATAGTGCTAGAGAAAGCACTGTGCGGCAATGGCTCAACAAATTTCGTTCTGGAGATTTCAGCCTTGAAGCATAGCGGTCGACCTAAAGCAATATCTGACGAGGATTTTAGGGGGATTTTGGAGGCTGACCCATCCCAAACAGTTCGAGAGATAGCAGAAGAGCTAGGCCTTGGCAAATCCACTGTTGCAGATGGTCTGGAACGCATTGGGAAGGTGAAAAAACTCGACAATTGGGTGCCCCACAATCGGAGTGACCGGCAGGAATCGGCACGTCTCGAGGTTCCTTCTGCATTGCTTTTGCGCAGCAGAAACGACCTGTTTTTGGCCGAATTGTCACCTGTGATGAAAAATGGGTCATGTATGATAACAGGAGACGTTCCGGACAGTGGTTGGATTTCGACGAACCACCGAGGTAATTTTCAAAGCCGAACCCTCACGAAAAAAAGATTCTGGTCACGGCTTGGTGGTCATCGGCTGGTGTGATCCACTATAACTTTTTATCACCAGGCCAAACCATCACAGCAGAACCCTACTTGAAGAAATCGACGAATTGTACCGAAAATTTTGTCAGATGCAGCCAACACTTATCAAAAGAAAGGGTCCGATTCTTTTGCATGACAACGCCCGCCCACACGTTTCACAAATCACTATCCATAAATTGAACGAATTGGGGGGTTGAAGTTCTACCTCACCCATATTCTCCAGACCTTTCACCAACCGACTATCACCTTTTCAAACATTTTCAGAACTTCCTTGCTGAAAAATACTTCATCAATTAGGACCAGGCAAAAAAGACCCTCGTAGATTTCGTGGATTCTCGACCACCCAGTTTTTTCTTTGATGGGATTTCTCGACTGCTATCACATTGGCAAAAGTGTGCTGATTCGAATGTCCTATTTCGATTAAATCTGATGAGTATCAAAAAAGTTACGATCGTTTGAAGTGAAACACCCAAAACGCTGAGAACTTTCCGGACAACCTAATATTTCCCAGAGCTCTCTCCGAAAATCTACTTTTCTTCAAGAGCTGCCTTCGAGTAGAAAGAGAGTGTACATTACAGCACAAATCACAAATTTGAAAAAGGAAAGAACTCCTTAGAGGCAAATACGACGCACTCCTTTCTTCCACCAGACGCGACCATCCTCAGTGCCACTACTAACCGTACTAACGTACGACGTACCAAAACGATAACGTAACGGTCGCGAAATAGGGCGCAGCTTTACGTCCACGGAGTGTAACTTCGTCGTGAATGTGTCTTTAGTATGTCTTCAACACATCTGAGCGCAGTTCGGCTTGTGGGGCAGGGAGGGGGGCAGTTTGCGGGATCATACAGCCACTGTTCGTGCGTCCTTGTGAGGCCTGTCAAATCCTGTAAAGCTAAGCATTAGCACACGTAGCGTTTTTTGACAAGAGTCTACAAGTGTCATCAAGCTAGGCGTAATTTAAGAGGATCTAGCCAAAGAAACTAGTGAAAGTGCGAAATTCCATTCTCCTCACCCTAAGCTGAACAGCGCGCCCACTAGTGTCATCTACCTTGCTAACTGAACCAGTTCGTAAAAAAATGGGAGCATGATCTAGTTGGTTGTAGACACAAAAGTGGTGCAGAAAGAAAAGAGAAGTGAAACGGCGCTATAAAGTATGGAATGGAGCTGTTTGTACGAAATTTTCAAGACTTCCCGATATAGGCCGTCTGCCACTAGCTTTTACTGAAGGAAAATTTGGAGAAATGTTGCTCAAAAAATGACCAGTCGTAATTGCGGTGTAGGGTATGATACATGGAGTTTCAGAAGCGGTGAGGACTCCCTAACACCTCGTGTGGAGGCTGCGATTGCGAACTACATGGTACGAAAATATGCAGGTCAGTGTTTATTCAATACTATTCTAGAACTTGTCAAAGTCTGGTTCAGTTCTTTACAATGCGGTTTTAGACCCAGCTGGTAATGCTAACGCTGCACTCAGCATGGGAGAACCCGAGGAACCAGGTCCATCGTCGTCCGGGATGTCGAATAGACCCGCAAATATTATACCAAGTATTTCACTGTTTTTAGTTATCCTTGTTGGAGATTCGTCTGCTGATCTGGTCTTCTTTTTTCTGAGTTTTCCTTGTGAAGTGGCTACATGGTACGTGTTTAGTTAGCCACAATCATCTTGAACATCCTGCGAATAACCTAGTCGTAGCGGGAAGACGTTCAAGTCCTGTACCAGAGCCGAGAAGTTCCAGAAGTTTAGGAGGTGAGCTTATTAGACAAAGTTTCTGCCCCATATGGACTTTTTTGGTTTTTCGCTCAGAATGTGATTTTAAAAATATTCTAAAAATGCATTATTAAATATTTTGCCTTATGCAGCGTAATAAACATGACATAACATAAAATATTTCAAGGAATGTCACGCCGTGCTGCGAACGCCGTGGACGACAATCCACTTGGATGGCAGGGTGCCAAGACTACACTGAAGGAAAGAATAAGCTACATGTATTGTAAAGACGTTCTCGCCGATGTATACTTCACGGTTGGAAAAGACGACATGAGACAGGTAAGAATGCGTTCATACTTCACGTCGGTGTTTTGGGCTTACAGCATTGTTTTGAGCGTTCGCGGGCAGTCGCTGTTGACGCTGCCGTACGCTCAAAATGCTAAGCAAAGTATGAACGAAGCCTAAGGGCTTTGCGAAGACGGCTTTCCGATCACTTGGCGGCTTAATTATCCTGAAGTAGGATTGTTTGGCAATATTTCAGCGAATACCTGCTCATAAGTTTGTTCTATCAATCGGCTCTGTTGTCTTTGATTGCAATGTTCAATGGTGGTCTCACTCCACAAAACTCCAGAGGTTGTTGAGCAGTCTTTGGATTTTTAAAATTTGGGTTCCCAAACGGATTCGTGTTGCCAATGAACGTTTCCTCCGTAATTAACGGCACTGCTTTTCAGACCCATTGGAGATTGAACTGCCCGATGTTGAAGTTCCTGCGTTCCGTGCCCTCTTACGATTTTTGTATTCTGATGAAGTTGAAATAGGACCAGAAAGTGTTATGACTACATTATATACAGGTTTTTTTATTCTGTTAAGTCTTCTTTTATTCATAGGTTATATTGAAATTGACAAAATGCTGTTCTCTAGCAAAGAAATACGCTGTGCCCGCGATGGAGACTGCATGTGTTGAATTTTTGAAGCAAAGTCTTGGAGCTGATAATGCATTCATGCTGCTAACACAGGTACGGATCTGGCCGGAACCAGTTGGGTCATCTGTAAACTACGGTACAGCAACGGTTTTGCAGGCTCGACTATTTGACGAACCGCAACTCGCGAAGTTATGCTTGGAAATCATTGATAAAAACACGGCGGAAGCGTTGAATGGCGAAGGTGCTTGAAGTTTGGGCGCAGGAGTAGCACGGCACTTTTGCCTATCAAGGGTTAATAGATGATGTGTCGCACTGAAGGCTAATGACGAGGGAAGCAGTTTTGTTTCATTGTGGGGTCAGTACTGTCGCTGGGGAGAATTCTTGCAAATAACTGCCTCCCCTACTTCATCCTCTGGTACCACCCCCTTCCCATCCTGCCTACCATTTTATTGGCTTTTTCGCCATGTACGGCTCTCAATAAACCTCGGTATAGTTGTAGTACGGTAGATTTTCTTATGTAGAAACTCTCGCGAGGTTGATATATCACTTTATTCGGCTCAGGCACGTTTCGGCGAAAGCCTGAAAGGGTCGAAACGATTTTGTGACTATCCGACCAAATATCTCCGTAGTCATTGGTCTTTTTTCCATCTTCCTACCTCTCTTTGTCAAGCCTTAGGTGGAGGGAGTAGCACTGGTGAGACAGGAGAAACAGCGAAAAGTCAGCCACCGGGAGAACTTTTCTTGCGCACGACAAATGTCGCCCCCTCCAGCGACCAAATACGGCCCCCCGACTGCGGATTCCCCAGCGAACGATGTGCCGTGATTGTCAGAGACAGGTCAGGACACGTCATTACCTTGTTATAATGTGACGTCAGTGACACGTCATCTACCTCTCGACAGGCAAGGTCCCTAATTGCGTGTTTAGCTACAATAGTCCCAAATTTTGTAATAGTTACGAGGAAGACCTCTGAAACTTTTTCCAGGGTTCACTGACATTGACCTGGAAGCGCTATGTCTTGTTCTCGCCAGAGATACTCTGAGGGTCAAGGAAGCTCAGCTATTCCAGGTGAAAGTTTTTCTCAAAACCCTTGTCATGACCGTTGCACGTGCATTTTCTTATGAACATTATGATTCCAGGCTGTGGTTCGCTGGTCAACTGAAGAATGTGCTCGTCGTGGACTCGAACCAACCACAGAAAATCGACGAGCTGTGCTGGGACGTGCTGTGCAATTGATCCGCTTTCCCTTAATGACAGTAGAAGAATTTGCACAATCAGCAGGTGGGATACTCTCGTATTTGTAAGGATTTGCAATTATAATTGCCACTTTTGAGGCCTTGCCAGTGCCACTTTTAAGGGAGCTGATTTTCAAACCAATCTTCAATGTGGTAGTACAACTGCCCAGTCAAATCCCGAATCGGCTCCCGCCAAGAACAACCAAGCCGTCTATCCTCCGGTGACTGCAAATTGGTACCAGTTCGTCTAGGAGGATAAAAACTGACTTGTACACCGGCTGGCCCTGCAAGTAATTGTATAGGCCACATCGCATTCAAGAGGCAACATTCTGAATGAAAGCAGAGTGCGCGCCGTTTCCAAAAAGGGATTGCTCAACGGCGGGGGCTCGATCCTTTATCCTTCAATACAACTAACTGCTAAGTTGCGAATCCGCCTTATGAAATTAATGTATTAAACCGTTCGGATGGTCGATCGTCTCATTGAATTGTTCACGTTTACGGTCCTCTATCCCTGTCTTTTTTGGGCTAGCTCGTCCACAACGTATGACGAGGCTCACCCGCTCTGCGCCTTGTGGATCTGACATAACGGGAATAGATCACATTTTTTTAACATCAATAACTACATCAAATTGTTCCAGAGTTAAACGTATATTATATTCCCGATAAGGTCCCAGTTTCAGCTCAGTCCGGACTACTAACCGATCGTGAGGTTGTTAACTTGTTCCTTTACTTCACCGTGAATCCAAAACCATCAATAGGATTTAACGACAAGTGAGTTTGATCTACATGCTTGATTCTTACCAAACCTAATAAGGTCCTAGTGGACGCGAAGGCTTCCATCATTTCACGAAAAATATTCTTTTGAATCCTCGTGAAGGGTTCATGAAGCTCCAGTGTCGAGTAACTTGTCACGAAGTATGAACGCGCTCACACATAGAATCGGTCTCATAACTGTTACAGATCCGTCTCTGGTTCCATTCCGTGCCTTACTCTGTTTCAATTTTTAGCCCACGATGTTCGGGCGCTGGTAAGGAATTGGTGGTCAGTCGTTTCCAACGCATTGAAGGTCGATGGGGTTACAGCGGCACACCAGACAGGATCAAGTCCGTACTTCGTAAAACTTTTTTTGCAAATAATTTTGTCCGATTGAAATGCAGCGTCGTTCTCTTCAGGTTCACTGTCGACAGAAAAATCTTCGTTGTTGGTTTCGGCCTATACGGTGCCATACATGGCCCTCATGAATACCAGTGCGTGATTCAGGTAAGCTTTCCCCACGATTTGGAAATCAAAATTTAGTGGGCACTTTCCTGTTCTCCTTTTAGGAGCTTTGAGGTTCTGAGTTTGCTTGTTGTGCTTAAGTACTAGTGACATTTTTCAGATTATTCACTGCGGTACTGGAAAAGTGCTGGCACAAAACGATACGTCATTTGTGTGTGATGGTTCTTCATCGACCTGCCGAGTATCGTTCCGAGTCCCTGTTGAAATAACACCTGGAGTCACCTACATTGCAAGTGCCTGTTTGAAGGTTAGCATTATTAGAGCATATTTATCTATTTTGTACCTGCAGTTTCATAAGAGGGAACAACTATCTAGTTATGAAATTGGGCAACGCTTTTGAGTTCGTTTGGGGGGGAGTGGGAGGAGGGGGATAGTAAGACAAATATGCTTTTGCGGCGTTTACTTTTGAGCATTTACTTGCTCTGGAGAATTGTTATATGAAGGTAGATTGCCTGAGAGGTGATCCTCGACGTGTACGAGGTGAGCAATTCCATAGAAGTGCGACACTGCGGTTGTACCAGACTGCGCGTCTATGAGTATGCAGGGTGGAACATCGTGATGGGTGAAATGAAGTCAGTAACCCCCCTCGGAATCCCCCTCTCTTGGAACCCCTTTTCCCCGTCCTGTCTACCATCTTCCTAAAAGTTCCCAGTGAGCCACCGGTTTTCCTAAATTTACCCAGTTTTTCTTCTGAACCCCTGTCGAGCGAGGCGGATATCGTCGCCAGTATGCTACTAAATTCAACTACCAGTAGGGGATGAGATTGCACTCGAAACAGGAATAATTCCTATCCTAATAACCTATTCCCCTCTGCGATAGACGAAGCGATGTGTATTGCGCGGTGAAGTTGGAATAACATCAAGCACAAAAAATTTCGCAAGTCAAATATGACCTCCCTGTCCGGCGACCAGGGGCGATACCCCTGATGAGATTTTTCTCACAACTATATAACCTGTGAAAAGAAAAAGTTTGCGGTAAGATGGACCTTAGGTTTCCGTCAGCTCCCGTACGGTTCCTTTGCTCCACAGTTACGCTCCGACCGACCATACTCTCGAATGTAGGCACGGCTGGCTGTGCGTCGTGGTTGTGGCGTCCGTATTGAGTGTTGAATATCGAGCGGAGAAAAAAAGGGACATGAAGCTTCCACAAGGTCTCTAGCTCATTTCTGCGCTTTTCCGAATGCCAGAAGAGCACAGTGTACAGGTCTGCGGTTGCTGACCTATCTACTTCTGAGAGTCAGTGTGCCTTTGACAAACGAAAAAAATTAATTTCAAAAAAAGGTAAAGATAAGAATTAGGTTATCAGTACCAGCACTTTACCTTTGGTGTATAACAGAAATGTGTATAGACTGTGCATAAATAAAATGAGTACTGCTCCAAGGTATAGTTGATATTGTCGCAATCACTCAGTGTGGTGTCAGGAGGGGTGGATGAATCCACCATCGACGGCATTTTCTAGCTACAGTGATTGGCGCAGGAAGAGAAAGCCAGTGGGTGGCTCATCCTGTGCCTTTTGGCACCGCCTCTGTTGACTGTGACGATAGTGAATGTAGCCCAAAACGTTCTTGCAAGTTTACTAATTGTCACCTTTGACAGGGCATGGACTCGCACTATGGTACCAAGGGTCTGCGACGCATAGTACATCAGTCAGCTGCTGGAGGTGTCGTCACCTTCCAGTTCACATATGCAGCTGGCAATAATAACGGAACAAGTGTTGAAGATGGACAAATACCAGAAATCATCTTCTACACCAGTAGCAGTTGAAAAGACAATTTCGGTGAATCCAAACGTTGAAATGTTGATGTTGGCTTCACCTTCTAACGTCTGCTGTATAGCAAATTAAGCGTTTCGCCGTTGAAACAGAACGAAATGACAATGGTTCCTGCTTTTGTGATAAGTAGACTTTTTGAGATTTCGTGCTCGGTTCTGTCCGTTTAGCTGTGTGATACGAATCTGTCGAAAGATCACTGTAGTTTCCTCGTTCATTGAACATAAAATTCTTTGAGATCTTCTATTTCATAGAAGAGCGCTCATATTTTCGGCAGTTTCTGAAGTTTCTTACGGCTATAATTGTCGATAAAGCTTAAACCAATGAAACAATGTGTGCACTTCGCTCTTAGCAGAATCAACTTGGATTTTCCTACTAAAGGAAGCTGGTGAGCGCTGTTGGTCAAGAAGATCCTGCAGCGCGAAACACAACAGTGGAGAACAAGCAGAAGTGAGGGAACGCAGACAGGTAGCGTATTTGGCTATGGTTAAAGGCAGTTGGCACGATAAATCGCTATACAGATGTAGGATTTATACGACTGGCTTAACAGAATTCCGTGACCTCGGACAGGCGCTCCGTGGCGCCTTTTCCAAGGAGGTACCCCTATAACGCCCTATCGAGCAACAACATTCCGTCCCAAACGCCTTCCTCGCCCGCCCGCCCACAAACGGACGACCGTTCCTGACGCTCGTATTCATTCATTTGCTGAGCAAATTATGAAGCAAAGGGATTGGTATGAAGCCGTGATGCTGCATGCATATATGGGTACACATATGCAGCCGTATCTTCGGTAGCGGTGATTGGCAAGATGCCTACGGGAAACTCGTCCGAAATCGATTTTCAAGTCACTGAGAACGGAGGCTTTTTCTTCGCCGGATTTTGACCGTTTCACTCCGTTCTTTCGCCATTTCCCCACTATATAGCGCCCTACTAGCATTTTAGGCCGAGTGGGAAACCATCGTGCCAACTGCCTTTAAGCGCGTTGCAAGAATTGCGGCGGTCCGGGCGAAGTGTGGAGATAGCAGGAGGATATCATTACCCTCTAACCTCCTTACTACAAACATTTGACCAGCAGTGGTGTTACACTTGAAATACCTGAGATGGAGTAGGCGTGGCTGCGTACTTCAACTAAACGTGGCGGTGGCTGTGCTTTTGGTGAGATATTTTCAACTTGTGACAATTGTGGTCATGTCTTTGTCGAACACTGAACAGAAGACTGATAAAGATGACAGTTGTCTCAAGTTGTCCACGAATAACCCATCCTATGCCATGTCTGACGTCACGCCTACTCTTTCTCCGGTCGCCTCTATTCCTAGACCCGTCCGCACGGCGCGTGTCGCGCGCGCTGCCTTTGGCATGTTGCCATTCGTGGTTTTGTGCGTCCACGACAGAGATTGCGAGCAGGAGACGAGGACGCGAAGTTGAAATTGAGTAGAAATGACTCGACTGTATAGTTACAGCTTGTCAGAATGCTAGGGAATGAAATGTTAAGGTTGGAAGTAGTGGCCACCAATGTAGTTTAACGGTTTTCACAGGCTTATAAAGCTTTCACATTTTGAATATAAAGAAGCGCAACAAAAATGAAGAATGGGCATCGAAAAGCATTGGAATGATTCGGATACGCAAAAACACAGCGTGAAGTGGATGGCAACTTTCTTCGAAAGTTCTGTGAGCGGTCTTGCTTCTGAACATCCATTACATCATAATCACTCGATAAGAAGGACATGTTCTTTGCGAGACATCCTAATTTCGGTCAGCTATTTGACTAACTGGGACATCACGCTCAATCTTTGAAACTCACTGATTCCCTCGAGAAAGTCTCAGCTAATGTGAGTTCAGGCCAATAAACCGCACGACCTCACTATCTGAATGTTCAAATTAATAGAACCAACGACTTCCAGTGGTTGTCAAAGTAGATGAATTTGGCAAAACCCATCATATTGGTGAAAATCGTCTCCCTGAATTGCATAGCACTTCGACAGAATGGCTTGATGAGACAGGTACCCTTAGGACGATCAAACGGTCATCCATGGTCGTGTTCGCTTTCTCTAGTGAGCGTACTTCAAGAAAACAAGTTAGGATTTCGGCCATCCTTGGCAACCGCTGGTGTAGGTTGCTCCTTATCGATATTGTGGTGCCCAGGGTTTTTATTTCAGTCATCCAATTTCGAATCAAAGTTGGTCATTTTGTCCATGATGGGGATTTCTAGGAACATATTACAGGAGAAGAGCAGGTACCTTACTCTGATCTCCTATCGATGAATTCGCACTTGTAGGACGTATTAGGCTTCATGGACTACCCTATCAACAGCTATACTCCGCATCAGTGAGATTGCTTCTCAATAGCGCCCATCACTAGTGAAACCGGCAGCGTGTCAAGGGGACCGCGCGCGACACGCGCCGTGCGGACGGGTCTAGGAATAGAGGCGACCCTCTTCTCAGGGATAAGGAGTGTACGCTACTCTGTTGCGGTGCCATTCACCTAGGCGTACAGTTTGACTTTATCTTTTTGGACCAACGCTTATTTCACGCAACGTTCAAATGTGACCATGGCCTTTTCCTATGCAAGTCTAGCATGACGCAAATCTATGTGTCATACGGCTGCGCGGGGCAGATGCCACTCAGATCTTTTTTCTTGGTAGTTTGACTCTGAATTTTTTTCAGAGGTTATTTGGCCCCTGATTGAATGGAGCAGTTATTTTTTTCTGCGCTGTCGCGGTCTGGCACGGATTGGTACCAGTTTGGCGCCATGACAATCTTCCGTTGTAATTTCGAGCCTGTACATGCTAAACGCTATCGACGAGCCAAACGGATATATGGGACGGGATCCCAGTCATGATTGTTGCATTCAGTTTTACACCGGCACAATTTGGGTGTTTCCAAGGCGCCACTTTGGCGAGGACTTTTCCATCAAGAGCAATGAATTAGGGTCTCGTCGCTGACCATTTCGTGGATCTGATGCCGTCCAGATTTCGAGAGCATCTTTCTCGTGGATAGAGGTCTTGTTGAGGGGTGTTGAGAGGCGTACGCGGATGAGGTTGCAGGGGTACGGTGGGCGGAGAATTCCGATTTCCTGCCCTGTCGAGAAGGGGCGGAAGCGAAATAAGATCCGGCAGGCATTATCGTGAGTTGGAGTGAGCTTCACCCGTGTTCGTTCCCTCTCTAGAATGGCAACCACGAGCATCCGGAGCTGCCATGTATAAACGTCAGCACCGAATTCTTGCTCTAATGACTCACCACCGAGTATTCCTGTGAATCGCATCACATCAGAGCGAATTAGACGGCTGTCTCCAGGCTGTCATCTTCAGATGCAAAGCCAGCGGCGACATTATGGTGATAGCGAACCCGGTAAGCGATAGGCGTAGATGAGGAAGTTCACGTGGCGGAGCTTCAATTTGTGCTCTGCGAGGAGTATGTGACAGTACAATCGTAATATATTTAGGGGAATAAAAGGCTCAGTTCCGTTAGGGAAGTTCGTGATCTTGGTTTCCATTATGATTACAATCTAAGTTTCAGCAAGCATTGCAAATTACTGATGGCTAAAGGTACTAGAAGAACTTATAACTTATTTAAATCTCTTCGGACTAGAGATCCAAGCATTCTAGTCCGTTCATATAAGCTATACGTGCGTCCAATATTAGAGTGTGGGACCACTGTTTTCAGTCCCTATCTAAAAAAGGATATCCAAGCACTCGAAAGTGTACAAAACAATTTCACTCGCAAACTGATGCTTAGATGCTCAGGACTAAGTTACCTTAATATTCCACGAGGGTCACAGGAATACTCGGTGGTGAGTAAGGAACATTGAATATGGCCTACAAACCCTTGAATGGAGAAGGAAAAGATATGACCTA